CATTCACATCAGAAGCAAGGCCTACTGGACTGGACATAAGTGCACCAAGTACGCACACAAGCTTTTGTTTCCAAATCTGTGATTCAATTCCAGTGATCAAATAGTTTGCCACGGGTGATGCGTCTCAAAATCCATCCCCGGAAAGTGCAGCTTATTACTGTCACAGCTCCTCTCGGTAAATAACGTCCCTGAAATAGGAACGTATTTTGGAGGAACAAGTACTGTAGGCTCAGTCTGGATAGCCATGTACATTGGGTGAAGAGAAGGGTTTCCTTACGAATCATTTCGCAATTGCCTAGGAGACTTGGGGGAAAAAAGATGCCCACTCAATTAGTCGGGGCTTTTGATGTCAGCTGCCCGGTGAGAATAGTCTGTCCGTTGGTTGTCCTGTCCGGGAAGTTGTATTTATAACGGAAGATGATACTGCAGACTTGAAGACGATACTGTAGATGGTACTGTAGACGTGGATGCATCATTGTTTGAATACATGTACAGCCATCTTACATGTCGACTATTTTTTCCCCTTTTTTGGAGGGGGGGGGGGTCCTTGATTTGGCGTGTACTGTATGTTGAGTCTCTTGGCAATAAAGGGAAGAATGTCTATTTAAAAGGAAAGGCATCCACTAATTTGTAGGTTATTTGATCAGTGGTGGAGTTATCTCGCAAAGGTTTACACATTTAAGAATCATGATGTCATCAGTGTACATAATTTACACTGGCAATTGATGCAGGAATGCTCGTTGTGTGCAAACTGCTGCATTTTTCTGTTTGAGTATATGTACTGGTACATGTGTAGAAATTTGCCACCAAAGAGACATCATGTGCGTGTACATGTATCTCATAGTAAACCTTTGCAGGGTCATTTGAATGGATTTTTAAAAAAAAATTATCTTGCAGTACTACATTTGAGTCCCACAAAGAATTGTTAATAGAAATGGAAAGGAAAGAAGTGAAAAAGGAAAAGTTATCAGGATTTTTTGGGTTAGGACTATACACTCCTATGAAAGAAGGCAAACTACATTGTAAGTACATGTATATGGGGTGTGTGTTCATTTGCTTCAGTTTAACCATTTTATTATTTAACTCTCCTATGCAAATGTACATTCTGTGCCAATTAGTCCTTTTAGTCAAACTCAATCAAGTGACTGTTTTCAACAGTTAAGAATTCCCTGCCTACATAAAGCAGGATTGACTGGCAGTGACTGGAAATGTAACTCGATACAGCTCTGCTTTGACTGTGGGTAATTGATAAGCCAGCTGTGCCCACAACTTGCCTACTTTGTCTGTTCATCATGGTCTGTTGACTAATTTTGACTAAGTCACAGTGCTTGCTTGACATACCGGTATGATCTGACTGCCGGTGACTAGCCTGTGTTATACATGTAAGTATAACAGAGGAAGTGGATGAAAATTTTGACTGTCTGTGACTGCTTAAATAGCAGAAGGATTAAAAGTTGAAAAAAAAATCGACTGGAGTGAGATTTGATCATGTGACCTCTGGATAGACATTCCAGTGAAAGGAGCAGCATATAGGGATGCATATACATTGTAGCTCAGTTGTAGAGCCACTGCGCTGGTATGATTCTGGAAAGTGCAAGTCCCAATCCCTGTCCAGTCAATTTCTTGGCTCAGCTTTATAATTATTATGATTATGCACCTACCGGTACATACATCATTTTCGTCAGTTTCCTGTGGTGGTGTATTTGATGAATTTTGTAAATTGGATTAATGGAGGAATAGAAAATTGAACCAGTCTGCTCTTCATTTTTTTTTTTTAATGGGCGAAAACTAGGTTATTTGTTCCCACTAATTGCAAAATCATTCATGCTGAACGAATTGAGTTTTCGAGTTAATCGTTTGAGTTTAGACTTGGAGCCACAGTTTGTGATTAATTGTTTGTTCCGGCACAAAATGAGGCTATTTATTGCCAAACAGCATAAAAAAAATTGCATGGTATTCTTGCGTGCAGGATTTGTGTACTCAAGAATGTATGTATTCATGCAGCACTTTTCATTTTCCAAAGCATGTGTGAATGTTAAGTGTTTGGCAAAGATGAGTGAGCAAAATGTCTGATCTATGTTCCTGAATAGGCATGCTTATTTGGGACCCCCCCCCCCAAAAAAAAAATTAAAATGGGGGATCAGTTTACGGTAGTTTTCTTGACAATGTACACATCTACATGTAGGTCCAGGTGTATTCATATTGAAAACCAGAAAATAAACCAACACACGTGGTTCAAACTGCTGTTTTTTTGGATACCAAAATTTGGAAGCTACATGTAATTGGAATCGTCAGATATTGTACATGTTCATTGTACATGTAGATTTTCGGTGTTGATTAATTCAGAATTTGTTCAGGATAAATATATCTGTATGTATACATACATGAACATGTAGGAGATACACCAGTGACCTGTACTTAATTGAAGCATTGCCTACATTGTCATTTGTTTTTCACATATTTTATGGGAGCGTACAGCATATCCGTCAAAATATTGATTTTTTTATTTTAGTTGAATATGGCATGTTCAGTGACTGTGACACCCCCACTGAGTTCCCCTTTCGGCCCGTCGGAATGGATTCTTATTCCAATCCGAGCCCATCCAATGGTCCAAGGCCCACTGTGATTTCCTGGGAGACATCCATTATGCATGATTGCAGTCGTTCAAGATTGCAATGATCCACCCAGAAGGGAGTTCCCTTTTCACACCAATGATCATCTCGGTTGGTCCTCGGCCATCCCTCCAGGAAAAAACTCCAAATGAAGTCAGCAGTATGTCGTTGCTTCATAAATTACAGATTATGCATAATGTACACGTAGACTTACTCGTAGCAAGTTTTCGTGGAGGTCATTGACTTGTATCTGAGTGGCAATGGATCGCACTCTTCTGCCTAATTTGCACGTGAAGTGGCAGAAAAGGCTTCCTTTTTTTATGAAACCCTTTCTCTTGTATGGCATCAAACCATTAGTTGTCATGTCATCTCCCAAGTTTAAGCACATTGCCAACACAGGTGTAGATCAGACTGACCTCATCAAGCTGGACCCAAGAGTCCATTTAGGAAATGTTTACTCTGCGACTCAGTCAGTCAGCAGTTCAGTCAGTGATCAGAGGATATTTGGTCAATCAAAGGCTGGTCATTCAGGCCCAGCAGAAACCCCTTCTTTGGCTGAAATGTTTATCAACATGAAATCTTATGCGTAAACCCCCCCCCCCCCCAAAAAAAAACCCTCCAAAATACTTCTGCACACATTTAAACTCCCAATCTGAGTCTGAGACTTCCCTCGTCCAACTCCAAACCTTTCTCACTTTATCTCAGCCCCTTCTTGCACTGTCAACCTCTCTATTGATGTACATGTATTACATGTATTACAAAGCTTTCAATCAATTTCCTCCTGATTTTCTTAAATGGCCCCACAAGACTTTCACCAGCTGCACGTCCTCCCAAAAAGTAACAGCTTATTCTGTTTGTCACAAATACCAAACTTACAGAACACACATTTGAGAATGAAGTCCAGTTTTGAAGGTTGGAGGAAAAATTATATTTTTATACTGTGACTGGAAAACCCAATCCACAGATCGTCGTGTGCCCGGCAGAAGGGCATATGGGCGTAAGCCCTTATGCAATAGCGCGTAATCACCAAAATGTTCCCAGCAAAAGGGCATATGCAGGAAACTGCCTCTATTTTAATGAAATTTATACATTTTCGTCAGAAATTAATACAGGTTGTTTCAAATTTCATGATTGATACATGTACGTGTGACAAATTTCAAAATCGTTTGATTTATAATACGCGTGGGAGAATATTAGTTTCATAATACCTTTCAATGCAATTTTCTTGAAAACGATGTTTGCGTCAGAGCGCTCATATGCCCTTCTGCTGGGCACCCAACGAAATTATCTTGGGTGTGATTCAAACTCAGAATTGAAATAGCAAAAGAAAGTACTCTATCACCATCAACCTGACTCATGGAAGGCATTTAGCATGTTAAGTGCCATGTTCTACTGTGCATGCCCAGAATGAGTTTTGTGCATTTTGCTTGACTTGCAAATCAGTACTTGGGCTTCAAACCTTGTGAAATTGCATCCTCATATGTAGCTTCTTCTGAGTCCTGTCAGTGTTATACACTGTACATTGTGCAGAACACACACATGTACAGTGTAGTTTGTTAATAAAGATGTGCCTCTCCTCATTCCAAGGCATGTGATATTGTGATGCAGTTATATGCACTCATGCCATGACTATTATCATTATTAAATTTTTATTTATTCGGCATAAAAAACAAACACAACAAAAATCATAAATTACCCCCCAAAAAAGAACGAAAGCCAGAGGCACGTATGCCCTGAATTGAAAAAGTTTAGCGAAAAACTGCAAACCGAAGGCCTGCAAATTCCAATACCTCTGGCTACACACAAAAATAGAAATCTATAAAAACTAAAAATTACAGGTGTTTAAATGTTACAAAGTTAAGAAGATTATCCCCATTAATACATTCAAATACCACAATGTAATGGAAACATGATAAAAATTAAACAGAAAACTTCTTCAGTTAAAAAATGAGAACAAAATTGCCTCCCCCTGACTTAAATCAGACTTAGTTAAAAAAAAAATCAACTATTGTGGTCAGCAGAAATGGCACCTAAAGGGAGTTAATGTAGCTGTTAAATGGGGAGTTCGGTATTTTTTTAAAAAAAAGTGCATCAGATCTGAAGGACTCGGGTAGGTCACCGTCATCCCATACACCAGCAAAAACATTCACTGTACTAGAGCAGAGAAGTCTCTGTGTGTGAGCTCTGAGATGACAAAACCTCACAGTTTCTGTGTGCCATTGACCAAGATGCCATGTCTGACAATGTTACAGGTAATAAGACCGTACAATGCTTTCATGACGAAAGAGACTGAAGGACCTGTAGCCATGACTGGCGCCATGACTGTTTTATAATGTATACAGTAAGTACAAGTTGTTATAAATGTAGTATTTTGTTTTCCATTTGCAGGGCTTTGCTCCACACATCTCCCCTTTCACAGACATGCAAGATCTGGGCAATTTACTGACAAGAGCTGGATTCAACATGCTGACAATTGTGAGTTTTCTTCGCTGTGGTTTAATTGTTAATGGTTTCATCAGAGTTCTGGCCTTGACTAAACAGCAGCTCTTGCTCATACATTCATGTAATTCTGGTTACTACTCTTGGTCTAAGTGTACCAGTAGTAAGCATTGGTACCGGTATTATTGTACTAAGTTTGAGTCTGATTTTGGTCCAGTTTCTAATTCTAATCTTAGTCAAGGTTCTGGTTCTGGATCAGGTACATGTACTAGTCCTGGTTCTTGATCTGGCACCAGTTCTAGTTTTAGTTCTTGTAGTACTGGTTCTGGTTCTAGTTCTAGTGCTAGTGCTGGTTCTGGTTCAAGTAACAGCTGGTTCTGGTTCTGGTACCAATCATGGTTGCAGGTCCTTGTTCATGTTTTAGTCCTTGTCCTGGTCGTGGTCCTGGTCCTGGCCCTGGTGCTGGTTCTGGTTCTGGCCCTGGTTCTGGTTCTGGTTCTAGGCCCTGGTTCTGGTTCAGGTTCTAGGCCAAGTCCCGGTTCTACACTGTAAATCTGGTTCTAGCTGTTCCTGTGTTTGATATTTGGTACAGTCTGAGGTCCCTGTTTCTGGCTGTAAACCTGTTTCACTGGCTCTGCTTCTGGTCTGGTTTCTCATTCTAGTCTACTCCTCATTAGGCCTTAGAATCATTTCCAATATTTGCAGTTTGCCTCATTGCTCCCACAGCATTGTCAAAATATGTTTGGGAAATAGAAGTATTCTGAATTCAACAAATTCTTGACGCTAGGTTTTTTGCTTGTTTCACTGAAAATGCATTAAAAATAAAGTGACAGGGCAAGGTTCAGCGTTAGGTTCACTGTCATTAAAATCATTGCCATCATCATCCCTGTCCTTTAAAGAACAACATCGTCTTTTTTTAATGATGGGCACGTCTAGGCTACGAAAACATTGTTATTTTGAGAGTACAGCCAAAGGTACTCTCTCAGAGCACTTTCCCCAAACTACCTGTGTAAACTGGAGTATAGGGATGTCACTTCTGCAGTCAGCCATTATTTTCTAATCAAACAAGGGTTAGAAAAATGGGTCAATATTCCATCGTCATCTCCTTGTCCCTGTTTGCAGAGATTTGCTTTTCTGAATTGTGTACACAAACTGTCCACTCAGGTTCTGGTGTTGGGTTTCTCAGCACAGCAGACTGAAGGAGCAAAGGGCCATTTTTTTTTTCCTTTTCATGAAAGATGAAAGTACATGTACATACAAGTATTGATGGGTTTGCATGTACTACAGCGAGCAGTACCAGTTGTCTGTTGTGGATTGCTTTGTTAGAGACTAGAGCTTCAGGTGACATAGCCTTGAAGACATCCCAACATACAATGTAATGCACTTTCTCCTAGCCAGTTCATATTGCTAATCATATGTACAGGTCTCCATACGGCGCAACACTAATACCGGTACATTTTCTGTCCTAAAGCTTCGATCACTATGATTAAGCAAAAAAACGCTAAGTGCCGTCTCAAATTCACTTGAGGATCGAGATTTCATTCGCTGATTGGAGTTTTCTAGTTCTCAATTTTTTCTTAATTTTCTAAAGGGAAATCTGGCAGCATCTTAACCTCATTCTCCTTCCGACAAAGGACCCTTGATGAACAACAACAAAAAGTTCAGCCCACAATTTCTGTAATGGCTTTGAGTGGGGCAGGTTGAATTGGAACTTGACCCAATGATTAAGTGCAGATGCACAGCCGTCCACAGAAACTTCAAAAACGTGAATGTAATGGATGGGCGTGATGAGTCGCGTTCAAATTCAGGGGGCAGTCCATTAATCACTGTGTAATAAAACCACTGTTATTCAAACACAAGCTCCCGACGAATTGAATTAAATCATGAAAACTGAACTACCTGAACCTTCGTCAGTGAAATGCATCATGTCAATTAAGACAATCTACTCCATACGTGGTGCACGACCGCTTCCCACGGAAGAACTCGATTAAACGCTTCCTCTTTTCATGTGGGCAATCTGGAGGAACTTATTGAACAGTTTAAAAAATGGGTTTAATTTTTAATTTCTGTTAGTCAGATGATTGCTCACTAATATCTCGCACATTTTGGTCCCGGTGAACATTGTCTTCATTTGAGACAAAGTATGTGTTGAACCATGAGTTACATGTAGCAGGTTTGCATCTGACACACATACATGTACATGTATGTATGATTCATGTCAAATTGGAAAGTCAGGAAGCGGCCCTTTTATAAACATTACTTGACAAGCGTATTCTGTTTATGTTGTTTGGCTGTACAATGTATCATGTTAAAATGAAGTAGCACCTGAGAACATGTACAACGTCCATGTTACTGATCTGCCAGGAATGAAATTACAAAATGTAGTGAAAAGTGAGTATGAACAATTGATGCCCCAACAAGAGTACATGTACTTTATTTTGTTTGTCTTCAAAACAAAACATATGGAGTGTTGTTTTGCTTAGTATTTTGTCCGTATTCAATGTAAACTTTAGTTCAGCTTCCCAGTGGATTAAATGCCCCTACAAGCGTGAATGCATCCAAGTGTGGATTTTGACATGTTTTGACTTGCTGTAGTGTGGATCACTAATGGTAAAATACATCTTAATGGATATTGACCTGTACATGTAGGATAATATTTTTTTCAAGTTCAGTCAATACCACAGTTCTTGTTATCATTTCAATGATACATGTACAATGCACTTACCAATATTTTTATCAAAAGCAAAGTAAAGAACAATGGGAACAATTTATCATCATATTATAGAGGCATATGAGAAGCCGAAGTGTGTACATACATGTACATGTACACATGTAGAGACATGCATTTACATGATTAAAAAAACATGGACACTGAGAATGTCAAAGAACAAATGACAGACAAACATGCTGCTGCATTCTCCAATAAATGTGAAAGTGGTTCTGAGCTCTTGGTCATAACCGTGGTTTTAGTCCTGTTGCTGATAGCATGCATTCAAAAGTTTTGAAATCGATCAAGGTGTTAACATTTTCATTCAACTGTGATTCAAGGACTGTCAAATGGTCAGTCTAACGTAGCTGCAGAGCAATAAAAAGAGATGGGTTTGGAGCTTTGCCAATTTCCTAAATGCGCCATCATGCCTGTGTTCCATATACTGAAGTGTGGTTGCCATGGCATTGCTGGTATTTCATTTTGTGTAACCCCCAGCCCCCATCTTCTCCACGTTGAAAATAAAAGTATTATCAGCCGAGCTAATTGCCTGAGCAGACATCGGAAATTGTTTGATGGAGCCTAGCCCCACTCCAAGTGCCTGTTCCAAAGGTCGCGGCAATTTGGAGCGTCATTGGGAAATAAAAACCGCTGCGTATTGGAAAGAGATGTTTGATAACATCCTGTATGTTATAGTGCGAGTAATCAATATTACCCTGCTAAAAAAAAAATGTTTTGTTCAACAATAACATGGTGGCTTTGGGTCAAGTTAGGTTTGCAGAGAAACCAATTTACTCTCAGCTTTTCCCCCCTAGATTATTTGAAGAGAAAAGCGTCTGTCTACATTTCAGTGAGCTATTATGGCTTTGACTAACATCCCTATGTCTGTGGTGACTGGACATGTTGTAATTTTGCAGGGATGACTGCTGTGACTTAGAACAGCTTCATCAGCAGGCAAAGTGGTCAGGATAATCCAACACCATGCTTCTTGTTTTCTGTTTTTTTGACTTACAATTCATACAAAGGTGCTGGTACATTTAAGTGTGAGGTAGTATCCACCATCGACTGTGTCTCATCAAGGCCCAAACTGATTCAGATTTGCTGACTGGCTGGAATAGATGATGTCAAAACAAACAAAATGGGGAAAGAAATATTAAAAACACTTTTATATTATTTTCGTGGAGTGCTGTGGCCTCGTGGTATGGGGATTGAAGTTGTGGTCAGTGGGTAATTCTGCAGGCTGCGGGTTCGAGTCCAGCCTGGGGTTGTGGTGCGTGTGCCCTTGGGCAGTTGCTTCTCCCCATGCAGTAGTAAAATGGGTACCTTAGAGGGCAGAGATGATTATTGTGATTGATTTGAGCTTCCTTGTGCTGAAATGGCTGCATCGAGCTGTATACTCTCCCAGAGAGCTGAGACTGTATGCGGAATGTTTCATTGGCTCAATGGTCAGGGGTAATAATAATGTAAAGCGCTTTGATCTTATAATAAAAGAGTTATAAGTGCCCATTGTTATTGTTATTGCAAAAAATATGCAACGTTTATTATTTTATCGGTGATAAAATGGGGTATTTTTATATTTTTATAATTATTATTATTGTTTGTGGTTTTTTTGGTGGGTGGGGATTCATGTGCACACCATGCATGGTCATTTGGCATGGCAGTGGTGGTGGAGTACATGTGCAAAGAGGGTGGGGAGAGATGGTGGGGAGGAGGATGGGTGGGGATCGGCACCACACTAAAATTTTGTGTGAGATTTGGGTGGGGATATTTTGTCTTTGCATGGCATCCATCCCCATCTACCACTTATAAAATGGGCACATAGTTTTAACTGTAGGAAGAGGAATATATTTTGAGGGTGATTTGCATTAATGTCTGCAATGTTGGTGTTTCCTTGAAAAATTGAACAATTTTCTTAATTATCTCAACTCCATTAACCCCCATCAAATATAAATCTAAATGGAGTAACACGCGTACCAGTCCATCAATAATTTGCAGCCAATCCATAATCCAAGGTGTTTTTGGTATATGTTCAATGTGTATGAGACTTAATTAGCTTCCCCCCCCCCCGGTTTTTTTTACACATTAAGTGAATGTGTTGGTTTTCATGCCCATGTCATTTGTCAAGTCAAGAACAATACAATTGCTTGCACCAATAGAAGGAGGGAGGCATCATAATGGCTAAGTGGTATTGTCAATTGATAAATGCACTGTCAGTTGACATGCAGCGGACAAGTCAGTGTACTTTTTGTGCGTGCGTAGAGAAAAAAAACCTGAGCGTTTATGTGCGGGTACTCTTCGGGAAATATAATGCTGTACATGCCAGTCATAC